CTTGTTACTAGTAGCGATGCACTTGTTACTAATAGCTTCTTGTTACTGCTAGTAAGGCACTTGTTACTAGAAGCGATGCACTTGTTCCTAGTAGCTTCCCAAATTACCCTATCCCTGAAATTCACAAGGTATGCGGCGCCACGGACGATTAACTAACTGATGTGACCGACAGGAATCTCCTGATGTGCCCTGCATGAGAATGTTGCCTTTTACATCTTTTACTATCTTGGCAGAGTAAGGCCAGAAAGGCTATTAGGTTGGAGGCCATCGCTATTGGAACAAGGATCTTTGGGGGGTCCATACTGGGATCCATGTATCTCCTACGCAAAAGCCACCTGTGGTCACAATGGAAGGCATGATGGTTGTGCCTTGCGAATCAGGTCCATCTGCGAATTGGGTAGTACTGTCAGTACTGTTCTACAAACAATGCAGTCCCAACATGTCACACCTTTCGTCCTTCTCTTGTTTCTAATAGCAATTCCAACCTACTAGCGATGGCCTCCAACCTACTAGCGATGGCCTCCACCCTAGTAGCAATGGCCTCCACCCTACTCTTGCCTATCAAACACAAAGTGCACCTTTCAATGCTTGGCATCCGTCTTCAATGCGCCCGCCGCACCCATAGTAATTCGAGAACCCCAGACTGCAAACGCGCTCACAGCGAGGCAAATGATACCTGAGGGCCGGGCACTCCTTGCAGGTCAGGAAATTGTCAACCTTGGGCACCATGGAAGATCTGTATAAGTTACAAACAGGTCATTAATGATAAAGGCCCTTTACCTTGCCTTAATTTCTTATTTCAATATACACAAGGATTATCTTTGTGAGTCTAATCTGCATTATCATTGACTTTCTACTACTCTCTCATCGGCAAACTTCACACAAATTTGACGCACCTTTGAAGCAAAGAAAAGGACACAGAAAAATTACAGGATACTTGATTCTTCTTCTTGGATACTTGGGCGGTGTTCGAATTGTTTTTCGTGGTTAGACTTTATATATATCACGTCACACGTCTTTTGAAAGAAAGGGGTTGAGACCTGGGGTGCCCTGGCGAAGGTCCGCACAAAGGCTTGGGCCTCGCGGATCCCGATCTCGGGACTTTGCAAGGGCAGGGCCTCGATCTGGTCGGTCTCGGCGAAACGAGAAGAAAACCAGGCTCAAAAGGTTCGTTTGCCGGGGCGTGGCGGAGGTAGGCCACTAAGAGGGAGGAGGTAGTAGCTAGGTAGCTAGTAGAAGCAAACGGGAGTCGCTGGTAGCTTAAGTAGTTACTACCTAGGACGCAGGATAGCTCACGCTTCTTCAAGGAAGCTCACCCCGCCTGAGGGCGGGGGAGAGCATCCTTGAAGAAGCGCTCGCACTATTCATTTGGTTCCTAGATTTTTAGGGAAACTTTAGTTTCTTTGTTTCTTTCTTGCCAATGGAAGTCTATTCACATCATATAGAAAGAATAAACATTACAGTAGTCACTTACCTCGACCTACCTACCCCACAATCAACCAAAACATGTTCCCAGAAGCTTCCACATTTACGGTAATGATTGAATTTATGTTCAGTTGTGCGCTATCTGATTTTCTCCTATTGTGTCAATTATGTCCCATCTTTTTTTCCGTTTCCCCTAGTAGATTGTTGGTCATTTCCTGTCTGCTTATTAATCAAAGGTGTACATGAAGCTTGGGTCCCTGAAGATTATCAAACGGCTCTTACTTGTGGTGCTTGGACTGTGAGAGAGACTTGATGAATGCAAGAGGTGACGGTGTGGCCATGAATCTGCACGGCACTTTGTTACTAGAAGCGATGCACTTCTTCCTAGTAGTTTCTTGTTACTACTAGTAAGGCACTTGTTACTAGAAGCGATGCACTTGT